TGAGAACCTTTGGGTTTTCTCTAAGATCTATGACCTCTTCTGCTATGTGTATTTGGCTGGGTTTACAGTACCAGACATGAGTTTCCTCCCATGGGCTTTAAGTCCAATTAGGTAGCTGTTGATTACCCCTAAGATAAAAATGTTTGCTGTACTGGTCATTGATGGGGTTTTTAGGCCTTGAAGCTAGGGTTGGACCATCGATTGATATTCTCCCTTACTAGCTTGCTTACTCCTCTCCAAAGCTATGAAAGCTAGTCTTCAGGGAAGGTGGCTTCCAGGTCAGTTCCAGCTCCATTGTTCCAAATCCTGTGTTCAAAGTATGTCCTGTCTTCAGCAACAGTCTATCAAGATCTAGGAGGCAATCAAGGACTGTGGCAATGGCCCGTGTAATTTTGGGAGTCTCTTGGCCAACAACTCAAGGAAGGTTTCTCTTGTCTGGCACTGTTTCTTGTTATGTAGACTTTGGCTATACTCACGGACCCATGTAGGGATATTGTATGCGTAATTTTCAGTAGATTTTTAGACTAATATGATTCCCTCTGGTTTTTCATTCTAGCTAGTAGGCACTATTTGTGTCTCCTCTTTTCTCTCTCTATCTTGTCCCCACTCTCTGCCCTTCCCATTTAAAGTGTCCCCATTTTTCCCTTGATAATTTTTGTATGCTATGGTCCCACTCATTTTTTTCATATACATATACATATATATGTATGTGTGTGTGTGTGTGTGTGTGTGTGTGTGTGATGCAATGCTCTTGGAGGTCAGAAGAGGGCATCGGATCTCCTGAAACTGGAGTTAGGGGGAGTTGTTACCTGCTAGGTGGGTGCACTGAACTCAGGTCCTCTGCAAGAGAAACTAGTGCTCTTAGCCATTGAGCCATCTTTCTGGGCTCTATGGTATTTGTCATTCTTAAATAATCTTTTATACTTCTGTGTGACATATATATTCATATGTATGTAGTATGTATCTACTTTATATATACTTGTGCTTATATTTGTGTGTTACTGATTTATACAGCTGTTTTGCAACTTGATATTATTCCAACATTGTGTCTGGGATTCATCTAGGATTTATACAAATAGCTCTAGCTGTTGTTTACTTGTAGCTCATTAATTCATGCTAGTTAATTCTCATTGCTGTATAATATTCTGATTTATATGTGGTGGATAGTTAGGTTGTTTTCATTTTTTCCCCCTGGGAGCACTCCTGTGAGTTTATTACATACCCATGTACATACAGGAATGTGTCTAAGGTTGATTAATAGGACTGGAATTGCTGGGTCATTGGGAATGTACATCTTCAATTTTATTAAAAATGAAAAAAAATCCCCTAAGCTTGTTTATTCCATTTTCAACAAAAAGAATTCTTTATAACTCCTCTTTTGACATGCCAGTTTAATGTTTCAGGTGTAGATCAAATATAACAGTGTGACTGAAACAAAAGACAGCCCTTTAAGCCTTCCTGTGTTCAATGTATAGAGCCAGCTCAGGATAGAAGACTGTACGTGGAATGCTCCTATTTATATAAACACCGAAAGAAAAGGAATTAGGTCATGTTCACTAGGTTGTTCAGCATTTCCTTTTAAATTTTTTATTGAGTTTTAACCAAAGAGGATTTCAGATTATTTTTAGGATCTAGATGGCTCACTGAGGAGCTATCTGTTGTATGAATATTTGAGTGAGTGAATAAATGAATGGAGCTATAGAACCAAATGGAATTAAAAATAAAGCATAATAGAATACAATTAAAATCAAATTAGTGTCCTTGAGCTTGTGTTAAAGAGAGAGGCCTGTGGTGGAAGGAGGTTCCCCATATTGATCTGCTATAAACCTGGCTGGAAGCCACAAGTGACATTCACTTTCTGTCCATACCCTGTGCTGCCACTCTGGCTCCGTTTGTTTTATTACAAGTTTAGAGCCTGAGGAGGTCTAATGTGCTTCTCTGATATATGACTGGATCAACTGCCACTTTGGAAAAACCTTTGGGGGGGTCTTCTTCCCCAGCTAGTCAGAGGCTTGCTCCCCTTGCTTGCTGTTATAAAAGGCTGGCTGCGTTGAGGCAGGTCCCTGTGCTAATGCGCCGTGTAGCTGGTCTTCTGTATAGCACTTCCAGCCAGCTTCTGGCTGTGGGATTGCTCTAGCTGGTTTTCTAGCAATAACACCTTATTGTGGCTCAGTGCATTGTGAAGTAAGGTAGAGATTACTGAACTGCATATTTGTAGATCCTTGTGAACTCATAGGACATATGGAGTCACTATTAAGGATCACTGTAAAAGGCCACTGTATTAGTCACTTTTCTGTTGCTGTGATAGAAACACTGACCCAAGGAATTTATAGAGGAAGAGTTTATTTGAGCTTACAGTTCCTGGGGAGTTATAGTCCATCAAGGCAGGGACGCATGGTGGCTGGAGGTGGCTGGAGCAGGAGCATCAGAAGCTGAGCTCTCACATCATCAAGCAGGCACAGAAAGCAAGAGAACAATTGGAGATCTGGCAAGGCTTAAGAACTCTCTAAGCCCACCCCCAGTGACATGCTTCCTCCAGGATAGCCACACCTTCTAAGACCTCCCATGAGCATCATCTTCTGGGGACAAAATGTTCAAATACTTGGAGCCTATGGGGGACACTTTAATTCAAACCATCACAGCCACCCAGAACATTCTCGAAATAGCATATTAATTTGCTAGGGCTGCTATAGTTTGGATATGAAGTTCTCCCAAGGCCTGCCTACATATTAGAGGCTTGGTCACCAGTCAACAGCACCTTTGGGAAATGGAACCTTGAAGAGGCAGGGCCTAATGAGAAGGTCAGTTGATTGGGGACATGGCCTTGAAGGGAATATTGGATTCCTGGCTCTTCCTACCTTTCTTTGTTTCTTGGTTTCAGTGAGGTGCATGGGCCTCAGATTAGTTCCTTTTGAGTCACCATGACCACAGTACTGACAGACACAAGGGAGGAAGGGTTTACTTAGGCTCATGGTTTCAGAGGGTTTTAGTCAGGTGGGGAAGGCCTGGTGGAGTTCGTGGTGGTGGGAATGTGCAATGGAATCTCCTCACATCAGAGTGAACCAGGAAGCAGAAAGTGAGGCAGGAACCAGGAATTAGGAATAACCTTCAAAGACTCACCTTTAATGAACTACTTCTGCCGGTAGGCCCAACCTCAAAGGTTCCACAGTCTCCCCAAATAGCAGTATCAGCTGGGACTAAGTTTTCAAAATATGAGGCTATAGGGGCCATTTCAAATTCAAACCAAAAGGGCCATCCTCTACCACCTTTCCTGCCATAATGCACTGTGCTGCAGTCTTAAAAATGACCAGGCCAAGTAACCATGGACTAGAACCTCCAAAACGTGGGCAACCAGAAACTTTTCCATTATATAGATTGGTTGTCTCAGACTGGAGAGATGGCTCAGTGTTTAGAGCACTGGCTGCTCTTGCAGAGGACTTGGGTTTGGTTCCCAGCACCCACATGGCAGCTAACAATTGTCCATAACTCCAGTTCCAGGGGATCCAACACCCTCTTCTGACCTCTGTTGGCATTGTACACCATGGGTACACTTACATACATGGAGGCAATACACTCATGCACATGAAATAAAAATAACAAAATAATTTTAAAAATTGGTTATCTTAGGTATTTTGTTTCAATAATAGATGATTAACACAGATCACACAACAAAGTGGTTTGGTCATCAGAAGCTTATTATCTCACAGCTTTGGAGGCTAACATCAAGATGAAGGTGCGTGCAAGGTTGGTTGCCCTGAGGGCTGTGAAGGAGAAACTGCTCTAGTCCTCTCTTGTTGCCCTGCAGATGGCCATCCTCTCCCTGTATTTCCATATTGTCTTTCCTCTGTGTGTCTGTGTGTCCATTTTCCCCCCATTTTAAGGACACTAGTCATATTGTATTAGGACCTTCCTACAGAATGACCTCATTTAAACTTAATTATTTCTGATCTAATGCCAAGTAGAAATAGAAATATGTTCTGAGGTTCTGAGGGTTAGATATTCAACAAATGCATTTTTCTCAGACACACCCCATGGCACAATGTAGGGTTGTTTGGTGATCGTTAGAAGGTTACTGGGGTGGTAGGCTGGCACTAGACTGAGAACTACTTCCAGACTGATTGCTGCTGGATGAGGGAGCATATGATTACTAGACTGATTAGATTCCAGTGGATGCATTTACACTAAAGGGCATTTGGGTACAAATGCCTGAATGAATTGGACTTAACATGTATGGTTGACTATATGAGGTTTGGTGTGGTGAGGCATGGATGGGGGAGGGAATCTAAATTTGATTAAGAACTGTTGTATGGAGCTGGAGGGATGGCTCAGTGGTTAAGAACACTGGTTGTTCTTGTAGAAGACCTGGGTTTGAATCTCATCACCGACATGACAACTAACAACTGTCTTTAACTCAATTTCAGGGGATTTGATGGCCTCTTCTGTCCTCCTTGGGCATTTCACGACACAGGTGCACTTACATACATGCAGGAGATACACACATACACATAAAACAAAAATAATAAATAAAATTAAAAAAGAACTGTTATATGAAATTATAAAAGGTCAATAAAATTGTAAAAAAAAAAAAAGGCAAGGGAAAGGGAAAAAAAATTTTTTTGTAGGCCAGTTGTATTTGAGCATTGTTTTATCTGCTGAGTCTTGTCTTATATTTTGATCATTGTTACTTAAAATAATTATTGATACTAAAAAAGGAAGGTTATAGGCTGGTGCAGCAGGTTTATTTTCACAGATGCAGAAGCCCAGTTGCAGTGTGGTCTAGGACAGTCAGCTTATTTACTTGTCACTTCTAGGAGGGAAGTTTTGGAAATCAGTTTCAAAGTAGAAAAATTTTTGTCTCTTGAGTTACATATAAATAGAATTTTCTCCTTAAGAGTTTATTGCCTGAAGGCTTGCCTATAACTTTCTTTCATACTTATGTTCAAGTTTATTTCATTGTTGTTTAAAAACATACCTGAGAACTTTTTGTTTGTTTGTTTTAGACTTAAAAGAAGTCGTATTTGTCATCCAGAGTCAAAGTAATTCTTTTCATGCCAAGAGAGCAGAGCACTTGAAAGGAAACATCTTAAAGCAGGCTGAGAATCTGACACAGGTATGTAGTGACAGCCTGGGCTATCTGTTGTTAATTCTGTATTTCTTGATATATGTATATATAGTATGTATATATGTTTTCCAAGACACTGAATCTTTAGAAAATGAATTTTATTTAGGTAAGACTAACTCTTCTGACTTGTTTTACTTATTTAATATTGACTATTTCTGAAAAACTCTGATTAATTTTTATTTTATTTATATTTTATGTATATGAGTGTTTTGCCTACATGTATATAAATGTACCAGAAGAGAGGCCAGAAGAGATGATCAGATCCTCTGGAATTGGAGTTACAGCCATGTGGATACTGGGAACCAAACCTGGGTTCTTTGTAAGAGCAGCCAGTGCTCTTGACTACTGAGCCATATCTCCAGCCCTAGTCTGATTAATTTTTGATGTTCAAAGTATCATATTCTAAGTTATTATATATATATTTAATTTAAGGGAATTGTATAATTGTATAAGACTGTTTATTATGGCTTTATCATAAAGTCTAAGAAAAATGAGTGGAAGAAATAACTTTTTTAAAAGGAAGAGCTTAAAATAGCAGAGATAGTTAATGCTCAAACTTTTGGTAACAAGTTCTAAGGCAATTTTCATGTTGAAATAACATTTTCATTAATCTTAGTGCAGTGCTTTCTCTATGAGTCTCTTAATCTGTTTTTTTTAATTGAATGTCATTAATTGAACTTTTGATTTGATTTATAATATAATATCCCAGAAGGATTATGGAGAGAAAAATCTACGCATATAGGTACATTTTAATGACATTTAAAATAAATGTGAACTGAATCTCAAGTCTCTTTGAATAATGCTGGTGGTTTGAAATGAGGGATGATCTACTTTTTTGTAGGTCATTTCCTTTATTTGCAGAGAATGTGGTTCAAGCCTCTCAGTGGGCTCCTGAAGCCACAGATAGAACTGAATTCTGTATGCCATATTTTCCCTATGCACACATACCTAAGTACCTAAGGTAAAATTAATTTATAAATTAGACACAGTAAGAGATTAGCAGTATTTAAGAATAGAATGATTACAACAGTATATTATAATGTAATTGTTCGCCCATCACTGTGATGCTTTGGGACCATCATTAAATGAAGTGAGGGTTATATGAATGCAAGCACTGCGGCTCTGCAATGTAATCCCATACCTGGCTATTAAGTGACTGGTGTCTGAGTGGCATAAACTGCAAGGATACGCTGGACAAAGGAATGATTAATGTCCTGGTAGGACAGGGAGAGACAGCACAAGATTTCACCATGCTACTCTGAGGCATACAGTTCTGAAACTACAAATTATTTATGATATTTCCCATGTATTATTTTCAAGCCATTGTTGGCCTTGGGAAACTGAGACTGTGGGTGCCTGGAACTTGTTATGTAGGCCTGGCTGGCCTTGAATTCCTAGAGCTATGCCTTCTAAGGGGTCGGATCAGAGGTGTGTGCCACCACAGTACACTTCGCAGGAGCTTTCTTCTGTAAGAAGCTCAGAAAGAAAAAAACTTCCTCCAAATCCTCTGTACCAGGTTGCCTTGGCCTTCAAGACAGAGTGCTTGCTTGTCTGTTACCAGTTTACATTTTGCTTATTTCCATGTGGTCCTCTAGAGGTGCTAGTGGAGTGCTAGTGCTAGCTGATTAGAGAGAAGGGCACACCAGGGACCTGAATAATCTCTCACTTGGGTCCAGGCAAGCATGAACTACATGCTGCTCTATCAGGTGACCTCCGTCAATGATGACCTCAGAACACAGGCATCACTTACGTGGAATCAAGAGCACACTTTCCCTTGTATACCTGCCTGTGCTCTGCTTCCAGAAATACCTTCCATCTTATAGAGGTGGCTTCATGAGTTTAGATGATGCATCATCCTGATTTAAACTGTGCTAGTGGTTCTTGCTGTTAATGTGGATGGTGACACCCTTTGCCAACCAAGTCCAGTTGATTGACTTTACTCCATATTTTGTTTACTGTTTGTTTATTCCCACTCTTCTGTTCTTTCCCGTCTTGATGTCCCCTCTCTGTCTCTGTCTTTGTCTCTCTTTCTTTCTTTCTTTTTTTTTTTTTTTTTTTTTTTTTTTTTTTTTGTGTGTGTGTGTACACAAATCTCCACAGCATCTGGCAGTTTCCATGGCACTCTGGAGCAGGGCAGTGCTTCTATGACTTGGCTCACAATAAGGATGAGGCCTCTGGAAACCTAGGAAGCACTAGGATGATAACACGTTCTTTCTTTTAGTCCCTTTAGGGAAAAGGAGGCTTGAAAGGGTATTGCTTAGTATTGGATGTGCCTGCTTCTTTGGGGACTTTGCAAAGGATAGGAGACAGGTGTGACATCAGTGGATGCTTAAGACTGATTCTAGACTGGGGGGAGGTTGGTTTGAGGCTCCCACATAAGCAGAACTTGACAGTTGTGTTCAGGAATGGAGAACGTGTGCCTCTTGGTGTTTCCAGTTGTTTTGTTTTGGTTCTGGGACTAGAGCATTAGCCTTTTGTGTGCTAGGCTGATGCTCTCCCACTGAACTCCACCCCAGCAACTCCCAGGAGAGGGAGTAGATCCCACAGAACAGTAGAAACCTCCAATGTTTCTTCTCTTTGGCTTAGACGGTTCCACAGAATTGTGTGTGTGTGTGTGTGTGTGTGTGTGTGTGTGTGTGTGCATGTTTGTGTGTATGTGCATGTATGTGTAGGCTAGAGGACAGCCTTTGTGTAGTTCTCAGGTAAGCCATCCATCATTCTTTCTCATTAGCCTGGAACTTAGCAAAGTAAGCTCAGGTTGGCTAGACGGGCTGGCTAGCAAGCCTCAGAATCTGCCCGTGTCCACACTCCTTCCCAGCATTTTGATGTGCCCACCATTTATGTGGGTTCTAGGGATTTGAAATCAGATCCTCATGCTTGAATGGCAAGCACTTTTTTCCACTGAACAATCTCCCCAGCCTCACCTGTTTTTTTTTTGGGGTTCTGGGGCTAGGACTCAGGTCCTCGTGCTTGTAAGACAAGCACTTTCCCTTCGGCTATCTCCCCATCCCCTCCAGAACTTTGAAAGTGGCATTCCTGCCTTTGGATCTGCGTTTCTCCCACCACTCACCTGCCTGAACTTTATTGCCCAGTAATATCAAGCTCCCTGTTTCATGATCACTTTCCTGTGCCTCAGTGGCTTTACACATGTGACCTTGTCTCTTATCCAGTCTCTCCGCCCATCACAATGAAGCCTTTCTGTCACCCTTTTAATTTTAAGACAAAGTCTAATATGTCCCCGACTGGCCTGGACCTCACTATCTAGCAGAGGATAATCTGAAATCCTGATCCTTCTGCCTCGCCTTTCTAAGTGCTGTGATTACAGGGACTGGAGAGCTGGTTCAGTGGTTAAAAGTACATACTGCTCTTTTAGAGGACTGAAGTTTGATTCACAGCATCCATGTTGGGCAGCTCACCAACCACCTAACTCCAGTTCCAGGGGGATCTGATACTCCCTTATGGCCTTCACAGGCAACTACACTCACGTGCACATACTCTCCCCTAACCTACATTGGTGGATAGTGGTTAGCAGAGTTGCCTTCCAAGACCTGTGCACACAGGCCTGGCTGATCCACAGTTGTTGTCACTCCTTCCTTGGTCCCACTTCTGTATCAGTACACACCTAGTGTATTCTTCTCACTTTCTGTTATTACTTGGTACTTACTTATCTTTCTCATCTACAGATTTTGTTAGTTTTTGATTGCTCAGAACCAAACAGTGCTTGTGTGATTACCCTGCGTCTTTTGTGACTGTCAATTGAACTGAATTCCTGGAATTCATTCTCTTCTCTCAGAATATTCTTTTCTTTTTTAAAAAGATTTTATTTATTATTATTTTTTATGTGTATGAGTTTATTGCCTGCTTATATGTAAGTACACCCATGTTGTCCAGTGCCCATGGAAGTCAGAAGGGGGTGTTGGATCACCTGGAACTTTAGTTACAGATGGTTGTTAGCTGCCGTGTTAGCTGGGAACTGAGCCCTGGTCCATCACAGTTGCTTTCCTTTCTATTGTATAGGAGTTTCTTTTCATTTCTCTATGTGCAGCATGGACACCTGTGGACACACACACACACACACACACACACACACACACACTGTATTCAACTGTATTCAATCACAAGTTCTCTGAAGGCAGATACTTCTTTGGCTTTGTTGAGAGTACTTTAGTCATAGTAGATATTTGACATATGCAGTTAAATTGAATCTAAGATATTCAACAAATTAAAAATTACCTAAGATAAATTCTTAAAATTGATTTTCTCTTGTTAATTTGAAAAATTTATGAGTGTTAAGCCTGCATGTATGTAAGTTTGCCCATGTGCCCAGGGAGAACAGAAAAGGATTCCCTGGAACTTGAGTTATGGACAGTTGTTAGCTGTCATGTGGGTGCTGGGATTCAAACCTGGGTCTTCTGCAATAATAGTCAGTGTTCTTAACTGTTGAGCCATCTCTTCACCCCCTTTTTGTTAATTTTAAAGTTGATAATATCTGACTCCTCTCCTTCTAAGTATAACAAACACTTACTTCTCTCATTGAAACTACAGTTTAGAGAAAAGGGGAAAATTCACATATAAGTTGGTAGGAAAATATGATCTCATGATTAACGAGTCTTTGAGAGACAGTATGGAAGAGAATCAAAAAGTTCCCTTGACTACTTTAACACAGACAATGTAACATTGACCTAAGGACTTAAAGGGAAGATGTACTTCCCTTTATAAAACCATAGAGTTGGTGGGTAGGCTGGACGTAGGCAGCTCTGCTACAGGTTTCTCTGTCCTGTCACTTGATCTCATCTGTGTGGCTGAAGATGATATTCAACTTGCATTTCAGTGTGTGGAGAGCAAGCAGCTTCCTTCTAAGAATATGACATTAAAATTATATATGTTATGTCACTAAAAGGAAGGTGGTAGGCTGGATCTTAGGGACAAACTGGTATGTTTATGTCACTAAAAGGAAGGTGGTAGGCTGGATCTTAGGGACAAACTGG